AGGAAGCAGGGAACAAAGACCTTAAGAATACCTACAAAAAATAAAAGTTCTCACTCAGCGCCAATGTGGTCCATTCTGGCCCATTCCAGCCCATTCTACCATTCCAGAAACGCTTTTTCCCCCTTGAGTTTTACTCTTAGGTAGCGGAAAATGGGATTAGTTCGTATAATGATCAATTAAAACTTCGCTGGTTTTCCCAAATTTGTCGTTCGTTCAGCCGGTATACAGGCTGCGTATTGTAATAACTGTCAATTGATTCTATTCTTAACTGAATAGACGATAGATTTGGGAAAACAGCGAAGTTTTAATCGACCATTAAAGTAATTAATCCCATCTTCCGTTACCCAAGAGCAAAATTACTAAACTAAAAGCGATGCACAAGATAAAAGTACGCACTGTGAACCCTTTTGTTGTTATAACCGGATCAACGCCAAATAAAGCGAAGAATAAACAACAACTGAGTATATTGACTATATAATAAGATCTTGCCGCGACTCGAATATGACCACGCTATGACACCGCGATTTCTCTATGATCGCGCCGCGACAATAGCGAATGAAAAGAATCAATCAATGATCGCAACTTCATAGCGATGGCGCTGCCAATTCAGCATGATAGTCGACCTGGGTAGTGATAAGTGTAATGAGCAGAAGCAAAGTGTACATACACTCTGCTTTTGGAAAATCGCAAAAGACGCTGGAAAAAAACCACACTGAACAAAAAAGACACTTGAATAAAAACAAATCTATATTAATCACAATTTCTATCTAAAATGGTAAAAGTCATTTATACTGAATTACTTATACGGATTCAAAGTGATTACATCACATAATGACTAAGATGCACATGTGGCATTTTCCTTTTAGAAAAATGGAACCTGAAATTTCGGCTTTTTTTAACATTTTGCATTCTAAAATGCAAAAAAGACTGACTTTGCATTCCAGAACCCAAAAAGAGATGAATTTGCATCTAGAGAAGGGGTATTTGGTATTTTTGAAAGTAAAAGCTGCATTTTTTTCTATTTAGAAACTTAGATATTTAGATATTTACAGTTTGTGCAGATTCATATTTTGCCGACTGGTTAGATATTAGATATTTATAAGTATGAGAGTCAGTAAAGAAATACTATTTCTGGATTGCCGAGAAACAAGGCGTGGTAGGTGATTTGAACAGGGCGAAAGGTATTAGGAAGGGCTACGGACATCAGCAGGCTTAGAGGTTAGACTCTACTTTCCGAAGGGGTTCGGAATTGGAGGTGCATGAGGTGAAGTCAACAATGCCATGTGTTTTGATCATCTCAGTCAGACAAAGACTGTTTGCTTCTTTATTCTATGACTTCTAAGATTCAGGTACAAAGTAAACAAATCTCTTCGCTCAGAATAACGTATTTCCGCAAACAGTTATCTCCTATCTCATGTAACTATGTATTTGAGAGAAATGAAATAGTCAGTTTGTTAGATCGACCCCCCCTAGGTTCACCCTTCTGTTTAAAGATGAATTTTGATGCTGAATTGCATTTTATTAAGAAAGTCTCTAGAAGGAAGTGGCTTTTTGAGACAGGCTTGTGTCCTCTCTGTTATTCGTCTAGCTGTTGAACGTGAATAAATTCTGCCGACACAGGTCGCACTGTTATTTTGTTTTTTCTTATTATTTTCGTTCTGTTTCAGTCATTCTGCCATCAGAAGAAGATTATGAAGTCAAATGGTTTTCTTGCTTTCATCTTTTACGATGAAATGGCTATTTCTCAAGAAATCTACAAAAGAAAGAAGAAACTCTACCCTGGTCCACTGCCACGCTTCATTCCCGGTGCGATCGCTATGATGCCCCGCATGTCGAGGAGCGATCGCGATGAGATCTTATATTCGCGTCGCGATCACTATAATGTCCCGCTTTCGTGGCAGAACAATACATTTTGCATCGATTCGATTCTTAAGAAGTCATAGTATTTTTCTTAGCGTGATCACTACCATATCGTTATTTTGCGACACGACGCACGTCCCAAAATTTTACTGGTGGACACACTTAGTCATTCCAGTTAGCTGGATGGAAAATTTAGTTTGGGGTACCATCCCTTGCTGTCTCTAGTCCATATCCTAAAGCGTTCATATTTGTCGCTATTCAATAGCGACAAATATGAACGCTTTAGGATATAAAACATTACAACCGATTGAAAATGATCTTAGATTAGTAAAATCAATTAATTATAAAAATATAAGAATATTAGATCATGACGACATCCAAATTAATATTCATCGACGTCCAGGACCAGTGATAATGGACGCTAACAACAATAATAAAGAAATAAAATGTATGCCAACATATACATTGAATGTTAGATGGGCAACAACAATACGACGACCATAATATGTTTTATTATATTTTTTATCTATCTAAAAAAAAAAAATCTAAAAATGTTTTGCCTGATTCTATCAGAAGCATTGCTCCACTTCCGCTTGCTATACTCTGTAGGTGGATATGTTTTGTTTCGATAATTCATCGATATTACCAAACTTAGAACTGATCAACTGAACAGCTCTAGAGTGATAGTATTTCGAATACCTGAGTACACGTGTTTATTGGAACTGAACGTGTCACAGTTTCATCATGATAGCTGCACTGTAAACTTGAAAATAAGTTATAGAAAATAAAAAACGATTTTCAATTTGTCCATATATGAATTCACCAGTGATTTTCTACTTTCTTAGAAATGTGATTTTCGGGAATTTTACGTTTTTCATAAAACGGGTTTGCATTTTTCAGAACATCGTCAATTTTGCATAAAATCAACAACACTCTTTAAACTTTAAAATCCCCGGCGAATTCGTATGTGGACAAATTGAAAATCAAAAGTGGAATATATTTTCAAAGAAATTGAAAATCTAGAACGATTTTCTAAAATTTTTCAGCGTCCTTCTAGTTTAATTTTTTCTCGGTTTTTCTAAAACATAAGAAAGGAATATGTTCGTGCACATATCTCTCTGTTTCATAATTTCATTCTGCTTTTGAAGTAACAGAAAGACTCTGTACGTTTTTTAAAGAAGGAAAGGGCATATTACGGGATTAATCAGTTAAGTTTTATTTTTTCAATGAAAGAACATGTCATAATTCGCTTGTATTTTCGAAATATGAATCGTAAGTAAGAGAATCAAACTGGCGGACTGAATACATGTTGTAAAAATCTTTTACTGCATGTTTCTTTCATTTAGAAGAAGAATATGTTAACTTGTTTCTAAGTGAAACATAAAAACAGATAATATTGCATAACATCGTAAAAACCATCATCGATATAAATGTGAAATAAACTAACAATGTATTGATGTAGGGCAACACTTCTGAGAGTAGTATCGTCCCGATTCGTCGACAAATCAGACACTTCAGAGAATATACATCAAAGAATTTCGAAGGCGGGAGGGACGGTGTGAAAGTGAGTGTCGACGAATCGGGACTGAATCCTGAGAGTATGCGAATGAGACATTAATCAGAGGAATTTGATTGTCTCATCAATCGGAGATTGGCTGAAACAGCCCCAAAACTTCTGCGTCCATTACAGTACTTTCTTTACATCTCATTTGACTAAAAAATACCAGCAAGTTCCTTTCAAAATCACACAAAATAAAGACGATTTTCCAGAAATTAATTTTATTTTAGAGAAAATCAAATACAATTTTTGAGAAATAAGCTTGACTTTCTGTAAAATCAGTCGATTCTTTAATTTTTTCAAAAATCAGAAAACATTTTCTATTTCTTAAAGAATCAAGACGATTTTTTGGACTGTTTTGTAAATCAAAATTCTTGAAAATCGACTCGACTTTTAACAAAGTAGAAAATAAGCATATTCAATATTCTTATAAAGTGGTTCACGATTTCATAAAAGGTCTAAAATCATTTCCGACTTTCAAAGTCGATTCTTTATAAATTACAAAATAAATCGAATTAACACTATGTAGTTTATTTTTTCTAAGATCTAAATTTTGACAAGTAAGAATTATCGGTATAGTCAGCCGGATTTCAAGAGCTATTTAGTCTAACATGGAACAGTGCGATCGATGTTTGAAAAATGGGTAGCGTAAAATAGTTTTGGAGGGTTCCGACTTTTTTGTAAAAAATAAAGCCAATAAGTGCAGAATGTATTTCAGAATCTTACCTTTTGATGAAAGTGAGACTTTTCCAAAAAAGATTTTTCTTTAAGAAATAGCATTTTACCGGTTCTGAAATAAGTAATTGTAAAATGCAGAATACGCATAATACTCGAGGAACGATTTGATAACAAACTAAATATATAATCTCATAAAAAATAAATAACTGGTTTTGCTTAAAAATAGGAAGGCTGGTTTCCTACCTGGATTTAAAAATCCCTTGCGTTATTATAATCACAAATCAGTGTGTCTGATAATTAAAGGCAAATCATTAAATATTTTTATGTTTCTCAACAGAGGAAGCGCGCTGAATTTTACGATGAGAAAACCAAATAATCGCCTGTAAAACTGAGTGAATAACACCGATATACTTGATGGAAAAAAACTTGCATGATGTTTTACCCGGCTTTTTCTTCGAGAACATGATGCAAAAAGATGAAATATGTACCTCATAATGAGTTTGCACAATCAGCGGTGACGATAAGATCAAAATATCAGGTCGAACTAAAGAATTTCACATAGCTATAACATGAATTTCAGGAAATGTTTTGAAGACCTTCGGGCTAAACAACTATACAAGAGCGAAAAGAAGTAAATAGAGCTATTTAGCGCCAAATTCGCATTTAGGGTGCGCGCTCAAGCCTGTTTCTCTCGTATTTGGCGGAAAAAATGTAATTAAGACTTCTGTTCGGTGATTATGCAAAAAATTCCGTGTTTTTCGATTATTTTTGAGAAAAGCAAGCGCTCTACGTAGAATTTTAGGCATGGCAGCCATCTTGGATTTCTATTGATCAGCGTACGAACCGAATAAAATAAAAGTACGTAGACACGAGCGCTCTATAAAATAAATTAGAAAAATCAGAGCTGATTTATTCAGTATATGAAGAGAAAAATATTCTGAATAGAACTGTCGATTCAGATTTTTGAGACCTGCGCGCGGGCTGGGGTCCATATCCAATATGTTTTGTCATTTCTCAGGTAATTAGGAGCTATTGCACGAGAAAAACGACAGATAATCATAAGACCATGCTCAATCGACTTTCTGAGTTCTGGACGGTTTTCTAGAGTCCGCTGGATGGAAAATTCAGG